AATTCTGACGAGCTTCATCATAAACTAACAAAATGTCGGCGAACTCTTGATTCGAGAACATTGTAAATAAATACGACGACGTATGCGAACAAAAACAAAACGACACGCCAGATGCTCTGCTCGAAAAAAAGGTTAAGTGATTTATCTATGCAAAACGATAACTAACCACTGTTACCGTTTGCGATCGATTGCCGGTTCGATAAGAGTGATGAAAGACCGACGCGCTGTTGTCATGTGTGTTTTAAATATTCAATTTAATGAAACTTACTTACTGACTACAAATTTTGGCTTAACTTAGAAAAACTTGATGCCATTTATTTGTTAATTACCCAATTTAAAAACGTTTTAGATTAGAGTATAAAAATTAGTAATATTGTGGTGTTTGTGTTCGATATAAAGCAACTATAAGGCCATTTAGACAAAAATCTATTGACTTTTGGACCATGGGTCATATGAACTTTTTGACCCCCCCTATTACCCATTTCAATAATGACTCCCTTAACGTTTACACCCTGTATTCTATCTGAAGATAATCAGCCTGATATATTCGCGGGTATGAAAAATTTCCCGTATGAAATAAAATACAGTAGCGTCGTCTATATGAGAATTGTCTCACCTATGTTTCTCGTAGCCGCAATAATTAGAGGTCTACTTTGAAAAGGTTAGTTCGTCGTAAGTGGCGCTGTAAACTGGAACAACTAAATGTGTCTGACGGCTTGAGTTCATTGTGTACGAGAAAGAAGCCCCAAAGGGGGGACAAGTGTGTATCAACACATGTTAGAAAGAGCGGACTGAAGAGCGAGGGTGATCACCACATTGGCTAGCAACGGTGACGCAGAAGGTCGTGAAATCTGCCGCAGAGTTTTAATTTATTTGAGAATTAACTTTGATTTCTAGCGATGGTGATACTATCAGCACATCCTGAGTTATTGTTACATTTTGCGACACCGAGCGGATAGAAAATGTAGCAAATACCATTACGCAATACAAATTATCACTGCCTACGTGTACGCATGTGGAAACCATTTCTGATTATGACGACACTCCCTAATGAGCGCTAGATGTGTAATGGCCAAAATCTCTCATCTATGATCATGGAGGTGAAAACCTTGCGTTGGAATGTACGAGATGCGGTGTTGCCAAGCGAACCAACCATGCAATGTTGCAAAATTTGTGTCGATTCTGACCTTTCATTTCGACCTAAAATGGAGCACCATGAGGACCGATCCCGAATGGACCCTAAACAGATTCGACACAATTCACAATTCAAAAATGTGTACGCTCAAGATAAAACCATTATTTGGGCGAAGATAATAAACTAACTCACATTTTCAACATGCATCTTAATTAATGGAATTGGTGTAACATGATGGAAACGCGTTGCTGAGCTTCGCTGTCCTGCCGTATGCTCTTTCTAACGTATGTGTCTATGCACACTTCTCTCTCGTACGGTACGGTGCCATCTAAGATAAACTAATATTTTCAAATTAGATTCCTAATTATTGCGGAGAGGAGAAATATAGCTGTGACAAATTCCCATAAATGCTGCTCATTTCATCTAAGATAATTTTTAGGACGTGTAAATATAGTACTAGGTTGGCTATCTTCGGGTAGACTATGTCAATATGCCTGAAAATTTCTCAACGAAGCGATACTGTTTGTTTGAATTCGAAAGAAAGATCATCCTCAAACGGTACTCAATCCTCAAGGAACGTCTATAAATGTGACAGTTAGGGCTTACATCGTTCAACCTTTAGTCCTACTATTTTGATCATGCCATCAATCAATAAAAACCATCAATCCTCTGAATCCCTTCATCCTATCGTTTACCTTCCAGCGATATCAGCAACTTTCAGAATCGACCTTATCAAATAAGAAATGTATGTCGTAAATAAAGGTCTATTGATCCAATAATAGCTCCATTAGGTTCCTATCGGGAGGCGCACTCGCAAATAAACACCTCCCAGATGAAGTAAACAAAAAATATACAGCATCGATGTCCTTTGTTAGAACGTCTGAATTTCGGATAAATCGATTTCGTTAATTATACTTTGTGTTCGCTAATGTGTAACGATTTCATAAACTTCCTTTGATCTTGCTTCATAATAGCTTGCTTTGTTTATGTATGTGAATAGATATATAGCAAATATCTATCCAATAGTTGTATTTATTGAATTTCCGCTCTTTTCTACTTGCTGCTCAGAGAAGATTTAAAAAGTATAATCTCTTTCATTTATTTCATTTATTGCTCGTTGCACTTGATAAAATACTAGGAAACAAAAAAACTGAACCATTGGAATTTTTAGTTTCCAAAACATATACTAAGTGACATATAAATCCGAACACCCAGTTTAAATGGTTAGTCTATTGTGACTCTTGCAACATGTGGTCGGGCATTATCCTGTTGGAAAGTTGGATCTGCCAGGGTGTCAAGATAGGGTAAAAGATGGGGTTCTAGAACTTCGTGGATATAACGCTGCGCGCTCATGTTACCTCTGATGAAGATTAAAGGTGACCTGGAAGCATAAGCTATAGCACCCCAAACCATAACTCCAACAGTGTGATGAACAACACCTAACCACAGTGTCTACACTTCTTTGCACTCTAACTGCAATTGCCCGAAAAGAAAGTCCAGCTTCCCGAAGTCCCACTATACGGCCCCTATCAAACTCACTAAGTTGACGAAATCGTACTGGTCTCCGTACTCTAGGCATCGTAACCGATCGTAAAGGATGACAAGAACCAAAATCCGCCAACGTTGATTCTTTACTGCGGCTGAAATATTCATTTTTAGAGCGTTAGTGAATTAAAAAAAAGCAGTATAAAAATCGGAATGTCCAACTGATAAGGCTGAAAATGTTTTCACTTGTTATTTACAGTAAGATAAATACATTCACCAACTTTTATTAAAATAAAACCATTTAAACTGGGTGTTCGGATTAATATGTCACTTAGTATATTTAGTTTAATTCTAAGCATTATTGTGTAAGATGTTTATGAACCGAATTTGGTAGTGTTTGGCATTTTCAGTTTTATGCCGAATAAAGTGATAAAAACAAGATACTTGAATGAATAAAAATGTTTAAGCAAAAACAAAAAAAAAATGCGCAATCTATTTTGCTGATTAATAAACATCCGTCGTTGTTTTTTTTTGTACGTGGTAAAAGATTTCAGTATCCAGCTTAAAAGATGTTTATTGCTGCAATACAAAAAAATTATAAAATCGAGTCCAACTCCGGATTTTTCAACCGTGCGACTAGTTTCACGTTACTCCTAGGTAGCTTCACTATTTTAACTAATCTCATCAAAATCGGTTCATATGTGTACCTAAGATTACCGATTTGGTGTAACGTTAATAACATACGTATATAATAAATATTATATTATTCTTAGTCCAGATAAATATTGTCATTTTTTGTACTACTTGTCCATGAAACATAAATATTATTTAAATAACAGCGTGTGAAGGAAAAGTGTTTACTACATTCAATGAAGCATAGGAGTACTTTAAACTCCTCATGGTGTTATTGAGGTTTTATTCAAAATATGGCTAATTAATATCAAGAAAATTTAATTGAAAATAACGACTAAAAAAGTTGGCATTCGATGTTTTTCTCGTTTCTAGAAAGTAGATATGTTTGGTCTGCAAGTGGAAAATATAGTTTTTCGCTGATGTTTTTGAAAAGATTTTTTACCTAAATTTTAACTTAACCTCAAGAGAATATTTTGCTCGCTTTGAATTATATTTGTAAAGTAACGATCTGTTAGATGATTTGTTTACCTTTTAGCAGTGGATACACTTTTTTGAAGCTACACAGTAGAAAAATGAAAGGGAGCGGGGCTTGTAAGAAAACAAAACTCGTTCATACAGATTGCTCTGCACAGTTGTTTGTTCTATATTTTATGTTTTTGAAAAAAGCACCTCTGAAGTAGGGACTTCATATTGTGAAGCAAATAAAACGTTACACGTATACAGGCTGTTTCCAAAGTTCAGTCGTTTATTTCAACAGCTGGTCGAACTCGTCAAAATAAGTTGATATACGAAAAATCACCTATATAAAAGTTGCATACTAAGAGAGTTAGTTTACATTACTTATTTTATTTCTTATTATTTATTTAAATTATTTAAAAAGATCATTATTAAGTCAAATGGATACCGTTTTTACAACAATTGTCCCCATTTGTTTGATTAACGCAAAATCTTGATCGGCGAATCCACGACTCTTTAAAAGCTCCGAAAATAAAATGCTGGTGTCCAAGAATTAAATCACCAGCACTTTCAGTGCGCTGTTGAAGGTCTTCCACAGTATTTTTGCTGCTCCATCATGTTAAACCAAAATCGAATGGCATTAAATCGGGGCAGCGAGCAGGTCAAGAAATGGGTCCATTGCGCCCTATCCCGTTTATTCGGAAACTCATTACTTAGATGTTTATGAACTTCTCGTCTAAAATGTGGTGTGTATTCTCGTTAAAATTCAGATTTTTACATGTTTTGTAATTTTCTTTAACCATGGAGCTTATTAAATGACCCAAACAACTATTTTATTGATCAGATGCTCAGGATAGGAGCATTTACGCATGGCATAATGACAGATCTGAGAAAATTGGCATAATCTCGCGATATATATGAAAATATCGTAACTTTTGAAGCTTATTTATTGAGCTGCAAAATTGTCTTAGCAACTTTTTCCCATATATAATATTCACACATCCGTAACAAAACAATACAAAATCAAAGAACACAAGTTTTCATCCATCCTAAAACTTTGTTAGGTAAACTGGGCAAATATGAAAAGGCCTATGTCCATACCCCATACCATTTCACTATGTCCATTTAAGCCTGCAACATCCTGCCGCTGCATGACTCATGACGGCTCTGAACAAAGTCTACACAAAGGTCAACATTTTTCGTCCCAAAAAATGCTTTTTAGTTACAATTTTTGTTTTTTGCATGTTCCTTGCATTATAGCATTTTGGCCACTATTTAGTCCTACTTAATTTGCAGATACACAGCCGGCCTGACAGGCAACGTAGCGCCCGGCGCAGCGGATTCCATGGTAAACTACACGCTCAGCCACCATCACCAGAACGGCGCCGCCGCGGCAGCTGCCGTGTCCGCAGCTGCGGCCGCAAACAGCGCCTCAGCTTCGATGGCCTCCGTAGCTGCCCAATTCTACCACCAGGCGGCCAGCGCTGTCGTAGACCCGCTCACGTCTTGCTCGCAACCCACCGCGCCTGGAGCTCAGCCCATTCCGGACATACCCAGATATCCATGGATGTCAATCACAGGTGAGCGCCGATAGCATTCAGTCCAAATTTACTTACAGTAAAACAATTTGTCGTACGCCACTGATGACGCGGTTGGTTTGTCTGTGTACGTTGACTCTGTTCTCAAGCTACATTTCTAACGTCCAGGGTGCTAGAGTGGACAGAGCGAAATCAGATAGTAGAGTGATCTTAGATGCAAAAACCGGGTAATTCGAAAATATTTTTCAAGTTTAAGGTTCATAGGTCGGGCCCAAACAGAATCTTTTTAACATGTCATACAATTTCCCTCAAAAGTCTCCAGTCGAATACAATTGATATATTCTAAGCATAAATCTAATGTATCCATTTTCAGATTCACTGATGTTTTAGCTACCCCGGCGTTCTTATTTGAAATATGTAGTTGGGGTTCAAGGCGACTTGGTCTTGCAAAATCTTGTTTATATATATACATATATATATATATATATATCACTAATTACGTAAAAAGTCTCAATATAAGTATTGCGTTTGCAAAATCATACTAGGGTACTATTGATGCTCAAGATTTCCACACTCACTGTGCGCCTCCTTTGGAGGAATTGGCTCAACCTTTTTCACTTATATTTGCGTAACTATTGCAACTGACATTTCACTGTCATGATTTGTGAGTTGCTGGCTCAAGGGATATTTACTATGTGGAAAATCCTTTTCGAACAAGACGGAGGTAACGGAGGAGATAATGCATAACTGTCATTTGTAAATATTTCAGTACCTTTCCATAGTTTCCAATGTGCAAGAGGTACACTCCATGAATCTGAAAGGTTCGATAGGACTTGCAATCATAACTTGGCAAAAGGAATTGGTAATTGGACAGTAACAGATGCAGTTATGTAAGAGCGATGCGGTTGCGCATTTCACTTTACTGTTTCAAAGGTCCGGTAGGTTGAACAGTAATATCGGTTTTAGTTCATCCTGATTATATTCGCAGAGCGACGAATCTTGTTCATGAAGTGAGAAATGCTCTTCATGAATTCTGTAATGAGCAAAGGAGCGACTTTTTCGCAGGATGCTTGACACAAGTATTTATCTCTAAAAGATTGGGAAAACGCTCAGAAATGGAAAGAACAACTCCCGCACGTCCATGCTCCTGGGGGCATTATCTTTAGCTCATGCTATGGATAGACAGTTCTCTCCTAACTATGACCTTGATAATGATCTCTACGAGGAGCAACACATCGCATGATCCGTCAGAAGATATTTTATGGCCAACGTCATCAGTGGTAGTGGCGTTTCCTTTAGTGATTTTTCTCAGAGGAGTCTTCTTCTCCAGAGCTTCAGCGTAATATTAAAGATGCTTTCGCGAAAGTGCTTAACTTATCTCGTGGCAATAACCAATGCCCACTACTTTCCAGCGGCGCAAAAGACCAGTGATGTTATAATGATTCCAAAAAAGGTGGGTTCGATATATGACCCCAGGATTACATTAGTCTGCTGTCAGCTACTTCCAAAATCGCTGAAAAAGGTGATTCTACGTCTTGAAAATTTCTCGTCAGTCCACAAAATGAATCCTGACGTGCAAATTGGTTTTCGGTCTGAGCATAGTCCGGAGTTACGCGATTAGACTTGTTGAGCGTGTAACCAGGTTCTTCACGTTTAGCGAAAGTACTGGCATTTTGCTTTTGGATGTCTCGAAGGCATTTGACAAGGTGTGCCCTCAGGGCCTCCCCTATAAATTGATCCAAACGTGCTGCTCGTTCTGGCTACTAAAACCTGTGAAATTCTTCCTTGACGGTAGGAAATTTCTGATCAAAATTAGTAACGTTCTGTCGACACATGACCCATCAGAGCAGGTATCCCTCAGGGTTAGGTTCTTATTCTTTATTCACTTTTCCGTTTTCCCTTGCCCCAGCAACTGTGAAGTCTATCTCTATGTCTGCCGTAGTGGCCCAGTCGCGTTCTGGGAATCTGGTTCATGACAGGCTGCAAAGTATGGTCTGAGAGATATTGGAACGGGCGGATCGGTGGCTGATCAAAGTTATAATTCGAAAATGCAGGCTATCAATTGTACTGAAAAACGTAGCAGCACTCCGCCTGAGGTTTCCGCGAGTGGATCTCGCGTAGCATGAGAAAATTCTGCAAAGTATCTTGGTGTCACTCTTGTCAAGGCGATGACCTGGCAGAAGCACACTGAAGCTTTAAAAGCTAAATTCCAAATTACGTTTCGGCGCTCTACCCTATGCTATGTAGAACCTCAAAATTCAGTTTGCTCAACAAGCGCAGCTACGTTATAATCAAGCTGAATCTCAAGACTTTTTTGTGCTAGTCAGTAGACTACACAGTCGAACAAGTTCGCAACCACACAGGGCCACGGCTCGCATTGAGAACAAAATTAAATCGTGCAACTATAAGTCCAATCAAAATTATAATTTCTCTACAACGACCAATCTCTAAATTGATTCTAGGACCAATTTAAAATTCCCGAATATGTACTAGTTAACAATGTTACGGCATCCCTCAAATTGACGGAATTCCTTCTCTTTGCTCTTCCCCTTCCTTCCTGTCTTCTTTCCTTCTTTCTCCCTGACTTTGCCTGATATCTGGGCAACTAAACCTGACAGAGATACTGACTCACAATACTTTAACCAAGAGCAAATGTCCTGCAGACCGATCCGACAAACAATGACGAATAGAGTCTGTTTTATCTGTTTCAATATTCGGGTCTGAAATTGGCGACTAACCAAGTAATTTCTTTCACAAAAACAAAAAACGCACATAACTCAGAGCATATGAGTTGTGACAGGATCAGTGTTTAGGATGCGGAATGAGTTTCAAAAACCTCAGAGATCAACTGGCACCTGCTATTATGACACTTGCCGTCGGGAATGTGAACGAACTCTTTATATTTTATTTTGGAATCTAATATGAGTGAGCCTGACCTATTTTCGCACTATTTATATGCTGAATCAATATTTGAGTTTAGTCACGCATCTAAGTCGTAAAAACTAGAACTGCCATATAACTATTAGCATACCTGGGTAATAAAATGTTCTATTTTTGTTTGTCAACATGCAATATTCAGGACTTATCTGCAGTAACTCTAAAAATAAATGTGAAACATTATGTTTGAGCATGGATTATAAATCAAATCATGATAAATGTTCACTATAACGAAGAAGTTATACCTTGTATATGGGGTGTTACTTAATGATAGGCCGTAATTGCTGGGGCGTATTCCTGAACCAAATTATAGTTGAAAAGTTCATATGGACATGTGTTTTTTGTTTTTTGAGAGAATAATAGCAGCATGTCATGGAAAGTCAAAAATATGTTGTTTAGAAAAGAACAACATCCCCCAGCAACGCAGGTGGTAGACGGTCTTTGACTGTTGAACGCGGAGGTACCACCCGGAGGATCTTTAAGGCAGGGCCTGAATGTGTGCATGTTGCATGCCTGGAGTCCGTGTTGCCCCTCCCCGTTTAGACCTTAGGCCTTCGTAGTGGTTCGAGTATAAAAATCGGTCAAAGGTGATAATTTATTAATTTTTGACATGTAATTAAGTTGTCATCTTTCTCCCCGAAAAAGAAGTAATATTTATATCGTCAGCCGCTTAATCCAAAAAATTATAAATTTTTAAAAGAGTCTGTGGTGTAGATTTTCAGTCAGCATCATTCCTGAGACCACCCCCGGAGATGCCACTGGAATTCATAATTATCTTTTACTGAGTGCTAGCTTAACTGCCTATTGAAGTAAGCAATACTGCAAAAATCCAACCTAATCGGCACAAGAGAGGTATTAATAAAAAATAGTTTTTTAAACCTTGATACCCTGTATGCTGAAAACGAGACTTTTTAGGGCACATGTTTATATGACGGTTTCTAATATATTGAAAGTATTTCTGGAGAGAGACGGAAAAAACGAATTTTCCCAAAACTGCTTTCTTTCCTGACTTTATTTGTTGTGGGATTTCAAAATAAATTGCACATTTACACTGCCACTTCTTATCCTCAAAGATGGTATGATTAGAATTTCAATGACGTTTCGACTCCTGTCCTTCAGCATAAACTTTATTTTTTCTAATAAACCCCATATTGGATGTTTGCATAGATCAATAGGGTTTTTAATTTTGATTTCAAAAATATGTAACATGTTACATGAACGTCGCCAAACCTTAGTTATTTTAAAAAAATAGACCCAGGTAGGCCTTGAAACCATTAGATGGTCATTTGTTTCGTATACTGGAAAAATCGTTGTTTATTTCCTGGATTTATTTAACGTTGTCTTTTTCTTATGGACTCCCTGTTGAAATTTTGCGCAATCGAACAGAATTTTTAAGTATGCACTTAGCTATGAATATTACATTTATCTATGTCAAGAAAAGCTTCACATACGAAGCAATAGATATATTCTTTGCAGTATTTAAATGTACAATCAAACCTAAAACGATTTTGGGAATCCGGATTCTGAAACTGTCTAAACGGCATTTTGCTATTTACTTAAATACGCAACTTTGCCGCCATTTAAGCGACTTTCTATCTCTTACCGTTTTCAAAATCCCAATAGTGAGGGTCAAATTTGAAACAACCGGTATACAATATACTTCAAAATGTGCATGCTTCTAAACAAATGAAGAAAACACTTTTTTCAGCCTTAACACAGCGGATTTTGGGTATTTGGTATCATTCGGAACAAAAAAGGTTCCTTGGTAAGTCTGTTCTAAGTTTGTCGTTTCCGAGTTACAAACGATCTAAATATGAAAAACCATAAATGCCCATTTTCAATTCCTAAGAAATCGAATAAAAATTATTTTTGGGGCAGCCAGGTGACCAAATTAAAATTCAAAAATTCCTTTAAAAAACCCCAAAGAGTGTTTAATGCTTGGCTTATTTAAAAGCATTTTTATTTAATTGTTAATGCGTTATAACAGGCGCGTTCCTTATGAAGCCCTTTTAATTTGTATCACTGGACCATATTATACAGGGAGTCCGCAAAGTTGGGGTTTTCCTTCACACGACGTGTAGATCTTGAAAACATAAGCAATTTTTCTCAGTACCATATACACCAATGTCTTAAGAGAACCGAGATAAAGGGCTCTGCAATATCAAAACTATCTGAATACCGTCCTGTAGCCGCGACATCATCGAGTGGTACAAGGTCACTGGCTCAACCCGACGACAGAACTGGGTCGGGGTCAGTGTGTCACCTTCAACCGACGGTTACAGTCACGCGTGTAGAGGTAATCGCGTAGACGAGAATCCCTCAACAAGCACTAGAGACGTGGCTAGAGAAGTGCAAGTATCAAAAACTAAAGTGTGGCAAACGCTGCGTGAAGAGGGACTGTATCCGTAGCCCTTCTCGTCAACTGGAGAGTGAGTACTTTTTCCTTTATTTTTTTTACTTGGTCGCCCTCGTTTCACCAGACATTACCTTTGTTATTTCAAGGGTAGTTGTTTCTGAAAAGGAAAACCCCAACTTTGCGGACACCCTGTATTTGTCCCATCATGATATTAGATATCAGTAGGATATTTTTAGATATTATGAAATCCAGCAATGCGTGCGACAATACATAATCTATTGCCAAAAACAAAAGTATGTTTCTAAGATGTAGTGTTGGACACGATACTGGCCCTATTCCCGTCTCTCGCAGCTACCGGCAACATTGGCGTGAAGTATAAAGTTGTTTATTGCGGCTATAATATTTTTACGAGGCACTTAACGCTGATAAATAGCGCACTATTAGGACAAACGTGAGATTTAGGGGTTTCAAAACATTCGAGTTTGAATTACAAAGCGATGCACTGTTCTTCATAAGGCGATGTGTGTAAAATCGTGAGGTTGTATGCAGGTTTGCTTAGGGAAAAGCGCAAAATGGAAGTAGTGGTCAAATAAAGTGATATGGTTCTTCAAATATACAAATGTTCCTTGTGTTTTGGCGATATGATACGATGAAAGCACTGCTTATAAAATTATTGATTTTGACATTTTATCTTATTTTACAAGTGCATCTATACTAATAATTTAAATAGAGCGATTCAAAAAACAATGGCAATAAATCTACATAATTAAATCTCCCCATTTTGAATCCAGTATGCCTAATTCTACAAAATGACGATGTGTCATTTTCGTAAGAACACCTGCAGTATCAAAGAAAGCGTTTCAAGGGTTGCATACTATCACAAGGTAACGTCTTTTTAAATTCAATAAGACTCAAAACGGTGATTTATCTGGGGGGCGTTGTAAATGACTCGGTAGAATAGTGGTCGTCAGCATTTTTCCGCAGCCTACATAGAAGGAGGAAAACACCACAATTATACCGGGACTAAGTTTCCTTAGAGCGTAAATTGACACCCCCATGTTAAGGTGACGCTATCATAAAACTAGCAGGTTGACACAATTACTAAAAAGTAAAAAATATTTAAAATAAAAATACATTTTCAAGAACAAGTTTTTATTTAGCTGTTAAAACGGATTTAAAATTTATAAATATGCCGTTTTATACTTCATAAACAAAAGTGAAGCTCCTTCGTTTCAACTTTTTAAATAAAAGCTTGTTACAAGCTTTTTTTTCTCTTGATGCTAAGACATAACATTCTTTTATTTGAAAAATTCAGACGAAGGAGCTTCACTATTGTTTTAATTTTAAGAAGTATTAAACGGCATATTTCCAATCGGAAAAATCTATTTTTATTTATTTTATTAACAGCTAAATTAAAGCTTGATTTGAACATGTATTTTATTATTATATTATTTACATTATTTTCACTTACTGCAATTGGGTTTTTTGTATCAATTAAAAATGTGATTGTTCTTCGTTCTTTTGTAGGAGTCAAGATTTTTGTGTGTATTTCATAAATTTTGGTCCTATAATTCTTCGGATAATTTTGCGTTCAAGCACTCGAAGCCTTCCTGGTCTTTCATTGTAAAGCACATGGTTTCCGCTCCGTACACGATCACCGGTCTTATTGCAACTTTGAACATCATTAGTTTGGTTTGTTTGCTTTTGTCCCTATCCTGCCTCACAATCTGTACTTAATGTAATTTTAACTCAATACCTGCGTACATTCTGGTAAAATAATTTTTCTATCTCGGAATTGTAATTTCAACACTTTGTACGGGAGAGTTTTAGGGCCCATGCTTTTTTTTCGCGTTATTTCTGCCTCAGGATATTGCCACTGCTTTTTGGAACACCCGTATATACTTTTTCACGTTACCTCTATACATTTCCGTGTTTTAATTAATATGTGATTTTTGAAAGAGCAAAAGCTACGCTGTTACAATTTCTTAAATAACAAAAATGTTATACTGAAATAAATAATGAGAAGAGGTTGACGTTTTTCAAGTCAGACCTAGTACCTAGGTAAGGCTATCCTGACGAGAATTTTCACTATTTACTTTATTCATTTTTACTACTTATGTACCACAATTGAAACTAAATATTAAATAAAAGCTTCATGCTACTAAGTAATACTTTTTTTTGTCAAAGTTGACGCGATATGAGATAAGGACGCTATTATGTTTAACGAGTTTCGTGTGATATACAAGGTGAGAAATGGGATACAAACTAATAGGTAACACTGAAGATATGACATTGGCCGTAAATAAAATAGTCGTAAAGCAATACTTAAATGAAGCGAGATAAGTGGTTTTCAAACTGTTGGAAAGATTAAAATTATAAATAGTAATGAGTTATGAGATATGGAAAATATATTATTTAGGAAGACAATCTGTAAGATTTTTCACAATGTGTACGCATCTTTTTATGATTATGTTATTTTGAAATAGCGAAATTATGCGGAGCTGTAAATGTTGAGAAATCTCATTTCGTTTTAGTACAAACTGGCAGCATACCTTGCTGGGACATGTAATATAGCCTTTTTGCATGCCCGTTATTTCGTATATCCGTAGTCTTATCTATTTCTTCTGTAGAGGGGCATTTGTATTGATCCAAACTGGCTATGGCTGAGCACCAAAATGGAAGAGACTAACATTACTTTAGCACGCCATTGGTAATGCCTGTATGCGATCTCGCACCAGTGTTGCCAAACCGAAAAAGGCGAAATCGGTAGACAGTGTCGCTGAAATTCGATAAATTCCAGGAGGAAATCGGTAGGAGCAAGAAATCAGGGCGGTCACAGGATCAGCGATAGACCAAGGGATTTGGTCTGCCTCACGCAGCGCCCAATATGAAAAAACTATATTCTTGCATTGCGCGCACATGCACAACACAGCTGTTTTTGAGGGCATCTGTTCCTGAAACAAATATTAAGTGCTTTATCACAACTTGTACTGGTCGATCCTCGAACTCCCTTGCAACCATCATTCACACTCCTTTTGCCATTCCTGTTTATAAGGTTTTGAATACTTTTCTGATTCATTCCTTATCACCCGACATTCTAATTTAATATTCAATTGGTGATGCGATAATGACGGTGAGTTACCAGTCTGTACCTGTTGTACACAAAAACCAATATAAGGAGCGCAGGATAAGGGATATCCGTACATAATTCTAGATCACCCAAATTAACGTCCATCGTGCGCTCCACTGCCCAAGTGTACGCTTAAGTAATGCTGGTATGGGGCACAAATCTACGTAGACATCATAGAATTAATTTGTTTAGCTCAATTTTTGGTGTAGCTCTTTTTCGGTAAAAAATTGGAAATATCTGGAGTATTTTAAATAAATTCTGGAAAATGAGGACGTTTTCGGTAAATAAAGCCTCATTTCGGTAGAGATACCGAATAATCGGTAGGTCCGGCAACACTGTCTCGCACACCGCGTTAACAGTGTCGTACGACGTTTTTCGCTAATGAAGGAAAAATTCACCCTGTATTTTACACCCTGCAAATAGTACAAATGCAGGGGAACTGTAACTTTGTAACTCTACCTGTTTTGTATCCTTATTATATGTAGTTAGTGGCTATGATGAAAAAAGGTGCTAATGTATTTTATCTTTTCAGACTGGATGAGCCCGTTTGACAGGGTCGTCTGTGGTGAGTACAATGGTACATATTTCTTTTTTTATTTATTTTTGTTTGTCACTAACATAGAATTTAAGCTTTGCTACTAATATTAGGCTTCCGACAGTTAAGAATCGTTTCATATTTTATTATGAAGAACCACATTCGATATAAAGGGTGTTCCGTAAAAATGTGACAATTCTGATATGGTATGAGATTTTTGAATTACCGTTGCGTTTAGGCCTTTTGGCGCAAAAATTTAATGTTCCAATAACTGTCACTCCATTTATGAATGTTTTTTTGGAAGATGCTGAGAACTGAATTTTTTTGAGGATTAGCACATACTGTAACTTTTGCGTCAGAGATGCGTTTGATTGAAGTTGCTCACCATTTTTGCAATTTGAGAAAAGATCTAGATGGAAAAGAGCAATACATAGTTATTTTTTTGTAATATCGATTGACTTACTACGAAAATCGTTTTTTGTGTGGCTGCTGTTTCGCGTTTCAAATATGGCGTGTTCACAATGTACCTCTGGGTTGAACGTACTGAAATCTATAGGTTTCATAACATTCCATGTTTTTCATTGCTCACTGAAACACGATTTTTTCGTAATAGTTGACGATTTTCATTCTACTTCAGTCTGGTATTAAAGAAATACACAAACTTCAGGGAGTAACTTCTTGGGCGATGTAACTATTAATGCTTCGATTTCCTGACTAGGTGTTAAACGTTCAAAAAATCGTGTTTTCGTAACAAGCCCTTTAGTCCATTTAGTTAAAGTTTGTTGAAATTTAATGGGTTAAAAAAATGTGAATAAAACCGCCCAAAGGAAAAATATTAATGTATTTAAGGTGGGGACGTAGAGTATTGAGTTTAGGAAAAATTTAAATTTCATACTGTCAACTCTTTTGATACTAAGCTAAATCGTAGAATCTCTCAGGTAAGGCTCTAAAACTTAATTAGCTAGCTGTGGACATTCGGCTTTTTCTGATAACGTAAAGTTATAACTCACACTTGCAGGAAGGTCCTTTCTATAAACTTATGAAAATAGAAGTTGTTCATAACACCTGTAAGTTTTCACCTAGCTAACTACCTTTAAGGGCCCTACGTCAGAAGAAAATTGTGAGTTTGAAATTTCCTAACCTCAAAACGTTGCGAACTGCACCGCAAATCTGGCGATTTGTATGGTCATGATTCTAATAAGGCGTTTGTTTATCTTATGGTATTAATTAACTTTTCCGCGATGTGTATATACTATTTTTCGACAAACTTTAACGAGACCGGCGATTTTTTTGAAAAAACTGATTTTTAAGAAAATTTGAGAATCTGTACCTGAAAACGAAGCATAACCGGATCCAGTGGCGTATATAGCTCAGGGGGGCCCATATGTCTGGGTTTGTTCTTATGTTAAAAATTTTGGGTCGATATAGACCAAAATAATTAAGGGTTCACAAGTCGACTTTCATTGCCTCATTCGAACTCTGAAACATAATAAAAATATTATTTAAACCTTCAATTGCCATTAAGACAGCGTCGCGAGTGATGGTCATGGTGTTTTAAGTTTCACTTTTCGTGTGATCTTTATTCTAGAATTTCAAAGTGGTGGGCCACGGAATATAATAAAAGCCATCTTGCCGCTAAAAAAAAACCGTCGACTAGAATTTTCGATTTTTTTTTCGTGGAAATGAACATAGAAATCTATATGTTCACCTTATAGATTGAAAACAATGCAACTTTTATGTATCTTTCCAGACTTTACGATATTGAGGGTTTCAGAACGTTATTTACCCCTTAAAGAGCTCTAAAATAGTGTCAGAGTACTTTCTCAAGGAAAGTACGCAAACTTTTATTTTTGCATCTTGTGCAGCAGAAAAAATATCGGACCCTTTATAAGGCTAACCATCTATATCTTTCCCGATACGTTGTTAAATGGCTACTAAAGCTTTAAAAACAGGCTACAACATTGAGAAAAATGTACACATACACTGTGACTCCTGATGTCTTCATGAATTTTTGGTTCATTTCGATATCATATTGTAAAGCTAGAAAAAAGATGAAAACTGCACAATATATCCATTTCTTCATCAAATGACAAATTTGTGGGTCGGTACCCTCAATTCTGAATCTTCCTGAACTTGGAACTTTGCAATAACCCATAGAGCTTCGCCATATTTTTGTATTCTCCCCTTATAAAAGCTGATGATTCACCTATCGGCAAATTTGTCCAAAATTTGATCAGCATCTTGTTCCGGATCTATGTTTATGTAAAATTATCTCCTTACAATTACCCACAGTGATATAAGTTTTATTTCGTTATTAACATCCTGTATATTTTTAGCTGCAGGAAGGTCCTTCTTTTTAAAAAATGGCCTTGAGACCAAATTTGGCACTCTTCGATAGAGTTGTGTTTAAACCGAAATGCTGGGTCTATGTCGTATGTTATTTACGAGATAAGCTAAACTAACTAAACACAAAACTCGGTCGGTTGATGGAAAATTCCTATATGTATGCATTACGCTTCGTATATGCACATAGACTAAACAGCCAAAGTCGGTCGTTTGTGCACGTTCCAAACAAATTCAGAATATTCATCTCAGGGTCATAACAATGTACCGTTTCCATGCGCCAAGAGATAATGCATTTGGGTTTTCGTTGGGAGTCCGCGTAGTGCCGTTCGCGAAGAAACTGTAGATAAGAGAGCGCACAGAAAGACAGTGGTGAAATGAGATATCAAAAAACGCTGATCACAAAAGAGAGAAATATGTTCTGCAGGTATTCAGAAATCTCTCAATTGGCTAACCTAAAAAAGCAAGGTTAGGTAGCATAACGATTTTTCTAAAACCATCATCTCTCTGAAGTCTTCTACTTCCAAAATCCGTTGAATTTGCTCTTTTTTTCGCTGAGAAACACTTTTAAATATATTTTTTATCTGAATTTCACTATATTTGATACTCTATATGATTACGTGTGCATCAAAGATGTGGTTTAGATTACAATATAAAATAAAATAACGAGTTAATGTATTTTTACAAAATAATACCAAAACCAACAGATCATTAACACTAAATTCATAAAATATCTGAAACTTAACCAAACCACAAGCCAACAACCCACCTTACCCTCTCAAGAGCATCTATCTATCCTTTCTGAAAGAAAAAAAATAATACTTCGCTATACTGCATTGCTCTTCAGAAGTCGTCGTTTTTGTACCTTTTGGTTAGGATATCTCGGAAAATAAAGACAATTGAGAGATTTGGACGGATTGGGTGCATGAAAACACTGCGGGAAAGTATACCCTGGTTTTTGGGTAAAAGGGTTAGATCTGATTTTGTCGGTTATAATAAAGGAATATTTATTATATCAGTAGTAACTTTACCCACTCATCGCCAAGTGTCACCACTGACTCCTCGTACTTTACCTTTGCAACGCTTATTCAACTTTTTTTATGCTGAAAACGGTCAATTAGCTGTATATGTCGTTTTTATGTAGTAACATCATTTGGGATATGAAGATTTTAAAAAGTTTTCAGTATGTCAAAATCTTCCGTAAACTTGATAAATCTTGATGCTTTCGAAAACTATTTCACCTGGAATTATACAGGGTGTCCGCAAAGTTGGGGTTTTCCTTTTCAGAAACAACTACCCTTGAAATAACAAAGGTAATGTGTAGTGAAACGAGGCCGACCAAGTAAAAAAAAATAAAGGAAAAAGTACTCACTCTCCAGTTGACGAGAAGGGCTAAGTACGTCTCTGCCCGAAATCATACCGCTCCAACAGAAAATGAAATCAGCTGATGCGCTACCGAGCAGACGCAGAAACCACATTGATTGTCTTACACTTAATGGCACATCTTCTAACAAGGAAGGCAAAATGTTGCGTAAAAAGTCTAGGTATTGCATCCCGTCCAATCGATTTGGAAGAATAAATGGTCCAATGAGCATACCGTTCACCATGCCAGCCCAAACATTCACCGAAAATGTTTGTTGAAAATGTGCCCGACGGACAGCGTGCGGATTTTCTACTGACCAAACATGAGTGTTGCGAAAGTTATTCACCCCGTTACGCGTGAACGTAGATTCGTCTGTCACCAATATGTACTTCAAAAAGTCCAGATTATTGTCATGTTGATGCAACAACCACTCACAAAACCGCACTCTTGCTGGAAAATCGTCAGGTTGAAGGGCTTGTACACGCTGGACGTGAAACGGATACAGCCCCTCTTCACGCAGCGTTTGTCACACTTTAGTTTTTGATACTTGCACTTCTCTAGCCACGTCTCTAGTGCTTGTTGAGGGATTCTCGTCTACGCGATAACCTCTACACGCGTGACCGTAACAGTCGGTTGAAGGTTGCATACTGACCTGACAGACTGACCCCGACCCAGTTCTGTCGTCGGGTTGAGCCAGTGACCTTGTACCAGTCGGTGATGTCGCGGCTACAGGACGGTATTCAGATATTTTTTATGTTGCAGAGCTCTTTATCTCGGTTCCCTTAAGACATTGGTGTATATGGTACTAAGAAAAATTGCTTATGTTTTCAAGATCTACACGTCGTGTAAAGGAGAACCCCAACTTTGCGGACACCCTGTATATGCATGAAAGGCTATGCACACGGGTTCCTGCGGCGGTCCATTGCGTGAATTGGCTTGCGTATAAAATTGGCATAAAGTAGATTGACTTTGCACTTCTCACGCGATGCTGTCAAAAGTTTATAATAAGATTTATTTTCGGCACAAGTTAGCCGAAAATTCAAACGATACTTTCTAAGTTATGGAAATGCTAAAGATTAGCGGACGGAACGACGGAAATAAGTGAGGATTTTTGCTGATAAACGAGTCATCTAAAACTCAATTACAATATTTCCTTGCCAATTGACCTGCTAAGTAAAAGCACTAGGCAAGAATGGTCTCGGTCATGTGTCGCCCAAATTTGTCGCGGCGCGGATCGCCACTTTTTAGATCTGTATAGCTTTATACGCTTATTTTTGTAGAAATGGGGTATGTTCAATTCTTTGCTAAACATTAGGACCTTTAAAATACCCGTATAATGGAATTTTTGGACTCTTCCTTGTAGCTTTTCTCATATCTTCACGTGGTACATTTAAATTTTCC